GGGGGGGGGGGGGGGGAGGATGGACCGGGGGTTTGCACATCCGGGTCGCGTTTAGCTTTTTTTCCGGTTTAGCCCGCGGTGCTCGATGTCGCGGCGTAATTTCTGGGCGGCGCTGGCTTGTCCGCCGATATCGAGAATACGTCGACGGGCCGACCGAACGCCGGTTATTAAATTTCGATACTGCACACACCCGAACGACTCGTCTTGCCTCGCGCCTCACCCCGCCTCGTGCGACTTTTTATGCCGCAACCCGTGGCGCAGAGCGACGCCTGAAATTTCCGTTTCGCTCGGCGGACGTCGAAGGACGATTCGCGCGGAATACGCCTACCGATACAGTTCGCCCTGACGTGAAAGTACGCGTGTGATGTGCGTGTTGCGCGAGCTGATGCGTTATAATAGACTGAATTTTAATTAAAATCGAAAATGCGCAATAATCGATGGGGCGGGCAATGTTATCCTTCAATTAGCGACGGAGCGGGCCGAAAGGAGCGCACAAGCGCGTCGCGTGCGGCTAATACGCGCCGTAATGTATTACAATTTCGTCGTCGAAATTTCACGTTAATTAACACCGAAAATAACAATAAATGCTAGAAACGCCGCGTGGTCCGCTCCCGATCGTCACGTTCAATCACGGGTACACACTCGCATGTATATTTAGCTTTCAATTTTCACTAGAAAGCGCGGATGCGCGCAGTTTAATTTTAATCAAAAACGAAGCCGCATTAAACGTTTCAAAGGTGATAAAAGTTTTACAGCCCTTTTCGCTCATCACAATGGATCGTGTGAAACACGACACCGAGTGTCCGTCGTGATTGTGCCGTAAAAAATGCGACACATTTTAATTTCAATTAAAATCGAAATGGATCGGCCAGCCGGCCGTGGCCGCGCGCGCGTCCGTGCGGCGCGGGCAAAAATTAATTTCCGCGTCATAAATTAATTAATAATGCGATCGCCAGCTCCCAACATCTATATATTGGACGAGTGCTACTTTTATAAATAAATTTATACCGACGGTATGTTAAAATGGTCAAGATCCATTAGCTCTGGAATTGGTATTGATATGTAATGTGCGATAACGCGACACGGTAAAACTGCGGATGAGCTAATTCCTCGTTGAAAAGGTAGATTTATAGAACGATACGCTTCGCACGAGGCCCCGTTTCCGAGAGAATCGATCTCTCTCTCTTTCCCTCACTCGTGAAAATTCAGAAATAAATAAATACTCTCGTGCCCTTTCAAGCTAGAAAAGCCGTCAATTTCAACGACTTCGTGTCACACATCGCCGGATGAAATATCAAATATCGGTAAAGTATTTGTGAAGGAACATCTCGCATTTACACGTATTGAAATTCCACCATTAACTAAAAGCACACGGCTGGAGATTTTAACCACTAAATTACAAATTTCAGACACGATCCTTTTTACAAAGCACGAACATATGCGAGCGATAACACGCAAAAATAAATTTATCCAGCGAACAGCAATTTCGAACGGATTAAATTACAGAATTTCGCGTTACCCCAATCCGTCTGTGTACACGACAAACTAGTTAAAGTTTCGCTCGTCTCTTCATCCTTCTTTCGCGGCTACAAGGAAGAGCGCGAATTTAGATTCGACCGATCGATCCATCAATCCGAGATTATCCTAAGGCTCTGTTACTCCCGGAGACGTCCGTCACGTCCGGAATCAATATTTCACATCGAAAAAAATTTTTTATCACCTACGCAATTCACGCAAATACGATCGAGTATCTTCACGCCCCCTCCCCCCCCCTGTCCCCCCGAGTGCCCCGGGCGGAGGAACCGCAGGTGAAAGTCGGCATAAACATCTTTTATTGGAAAACTTTCCTCCGCCGTCTGGCGAGAAGAGGCCGGCCACGGAGCCGGGGGTAGGGCGGGGGGAGGAAAAGACGGATAACGACGTAGGATGCATCTCGCAATATATATCGGCTTGCAATTCCAAGTATGGCGCGGCACGGAGCAATTGGGAATCTTTATGCAACGTGCGGCGAACGAAATATTTCTGTTTCCATCCGGCGCGCGGCGAGCACGAACCGATACGGACGTGCCGTATCGTATCGCGCCTTTTTCAGCGCTTTTAGCCCCCTCGCGCCTAAACCGTCTTCGGCTTCGTATCCCTTCGTATCCCTTCGCAGCTCCTGTCCGCCACCCTCGCACTTTTTCTCCCCNCCCCCCCTACCCCTGATCGCTGTATCCATATGATATTTAGATCGTCTCGCACGGCGTATTTCCGGCATGAACGAGCGAGCGAGGAATATTGAGCGGCCGCGCGAGTAAAAAGGTCGCGGAGGGCTGCGCGAAGAAATTTGAGATTTAAAATATAGAAACGGCAAACGTAACACTGAATAAACCATGCCGTCGAGCGCAATGTATCGTTAAATTAACGGCCGGGCAACCCGGACAGCTTGCACGCCGGCGGTTTCCTCTTTCCGTGCGGTAACCGCCATGGGAATACCGTAAATACAGCTGAGAAAATATTGATATTCATTGAAACAACGGAGCAAGGTGTTTCGTGCCGCGTTCCTCTTGTATATTGATTTTCGCTCGATTCACCGGCACGTTGCGAAGATGCGCGCGACGCCGCGTGTTTTCGTAAAACGTGAGATCGTGTGGTTCTTAAGCTGAAATAACGCGAATTTTCGCGTCTGACTAATCGAGTCCAGTGCCGGCCGTGTTTCGCGTTAAATGTGTGCCTAAAACACGGTTTCGTCTATCTATAATAATAATAATAATAATAATATATCAATCATTAAATCATAAAATTGTGATATTTACAACGTTACCATCTAATCACTGGAACAAAAAAAAATAAAATACTGACTGTTTCGTGGTAGAAAATGACTTCTCAGACATCAAAATAGTGATCAAAAGTGACATTATTTGTCAAATTCTGAGAATAACTAAGGCTATTTAAGTAAAGAAGAAACACTACCTTCCCTGGTTTATCGTTGTTGGATAATTTGACATATAACGAGTTCTTTTTATACGGTTTGACAATTCATAACAAGACCAAAGTTATAAATGACACATATACGATTTCAGTTCAGAAACAGTTTATTTAAGAGAGATGGCAAAAAATACATGGAACGTCTGTATTTCACGAATTTAACGGCAGCTCAGAAAAAAAAAGTTACTATAGTGACTCATTTTAGACGATAGTGAATTTTTTAGTGACTTATCAGGAAAAAGTGATAACAAGTGTCTTGAGTGACTGGATGATAGCGCTGGATATTTAAAATCTATCAGAAATCCGCTTAATGTCATCTTCTGTACGTACAAATAAACTGACTATGAATGAAATTGACTGTGGGCGTAAGATTTTTTCTTTAATTTCCTTCCCGGCGCAAATTGGCACGCCGAAATAATGGCAAAAAAAGCGGCAACGAGCCCGAACATAACACGTTCGACTTTCACGCTTGAGACGCGTCTTTCGATTGCGCAATTAAAATCCAAACGCGAATTATGCGAGAGTGATTTGAGATGCCCCCGCGTGAAGCATCGTTCGTACACGGGCGATTAACCCGCTAATCGGCCAGCCTCGGATAATAAGTTTTCCGGTGAGACGTACCTTGGTTGCTTACTCGCTGCTGGTACACCCTGTATACCGATGTCCGGTAATCGCTGTGCGCGCGTGGGGATCTCCCGTGAGGAACGATCGACTGTCGCACCGCCTGCATCCTGAACGTAGCGGTTACTAATTAACGCACGGACACGTCGCGCTTTTATTTACGAGGCTGCCGTGGTCAACGACGATTATCTTTCTCCACCGAGGAAGGATAACTCTTGCGCACTGGCAGTCATTAATTGCCACTGCTCGCTTCTCCATCGTGAGCGGAGCGACAGGGGTCTAGTTTATCGACCAACAGCCTCGACTTGACTGTAACAGATGTGGGTACCTCGGCACGAACATCATTATACAGCCGACGGATGCTGCGCGCGATGATGTCGCAGCATCTTCGTTGATCCTCCGTCTCATTTTTCCCGTCGAACTGTACCATTTGTTCCCGCGTTAATCTCGCGCAACTCTCTCGTTTTTCTCAATTTCGTGCGTTCAACAGTGAAGCTGCGCCAAGTTAATTCCGTTCTGCATTCGAAGAATTACGGAATATCGCTCTCGTTACAATTAATGATATATATAAAGATCAATTTATGAGAGTTAAAATGTAAAAGGAAAAATGGAGTTATGCGATACGAGGAACTCGTCGTCATTTGAAATTTAATCGAGACAACCGCGGAGAAGAGAATTAAAGTGCGAGAGCCCGTTAATCAACCGCGAACACTCCCGAAAAGGTGGGGTACTTCTCGAGAAACGAAAGGAGAGTAATCGGGGGAAATAACCGGGGAAGCTGAGGAAAATGGTACGTTGCGTCACGCAATTCGTTGGGAGGCGTTGCGGGAAATAAGGGACGATCGACGAAGACGTCATCGGGATTCTGAGATGTGTGATGTGTTCTGTACACGTCATCTATATTATATAAAACATTGTCGCACAACATATATATATATATATATATATATATATATAATCAATATATCATACATCTCATATATTTTTCGTTATTATTATATCGGCGTAATGATAACAGCGTGGACAACGTCGCAGCTTTCGCGTTCGCTCGACGTGTCGCGTTTCACGCGAGCGTATCTCTATGATAACGCGTGCTATCGTGATAAATGTATCGAGATCCAACGAGATGTTACGTCGATGCTTAAATAGACATATAAGAATAGGCTCGAAGCGCGTTGTGTGCCTTTCTTTTCTAACAGCACACGTGGAGTTTGGCAGGACGGTGACTTTGATAGAGAGAGAAAAGCACCCAGTGAAAGAGAGAGAGAGAGAGAGAGAGAGAGAGAAAGGCAAGACACATATGTCTCGCACTGTGCACATATTAATGACAGTATTGGCCAACTACCGTGAACTCCCTGAACACGTATTTCGTGTTGCGCGAGCTGTCAACGGGCAGTTGTTGCGCATATTCGACTTACGAAAACGAGGAAGGAGAGTTCCCCTTCATTTCGTCCCCCTTTCTCCCCCTTTCTCTCTCACCCCCTTTTTTCTTTCTCCTTTCACTGTTCCGTCTACGACAGGTATAACATAGAGTCTATTTTATATGACTATAAACGTTCACCTCGCTCCCTCCTTCAACGAGAGTCGCTTGTTCTCCAAATAGTGTAAACGAAATTTTGCGAATTTCACTACTAAGTCCGATACACGATTATACACCGATAAAATCGTTAACAATAATAATAATGCAGCAGTATTATGATTGTTATTATTGAAATCTCGACGGTCTCTAGGAAGTGATTCCGCGCACAGTTTTGGAAACGAGCGACTCCCTGCACTCGATATTGCACACGTATTCACAACTCACGTCGCTTATAAATATTTCTTACGTGTAGAAGAAAAGAGAGCTACGACACGTGACACTACGAAAGAGAGACGCCGGAGGGTGTACGCGTGTGTAGAAGTGAACATTCGCGCGCGCTAAATATCACATTATATACAGCTGTCTGTCTTTTTGCGAGGGACTAGCTTAATTCCATTTCGCGCCGACGAGGCCGTCAGCGAATTATAATTATATGCATCTTATGTACAATTCTCTCTCTTGCATCATATTGCACAGACGCAGCTGTCGTATACACCTACTCGTGGAAGTTCCACCATTATGTACCCCGTGGAGAAATTACGAGAAACGCTACATCTCTATTTCATTATCTCCTGCCCGCCGTGTGTACGTGCGTATGCGTGTGTGTGTGTGTGTGTGTGTATTTTCCTGTCTTCACCTGCGGACTACTCCACACAAATAAATATTAATTATACGTTACGTCAATGGCAACTTTACGTTGAACCGGGACACGGAAGATCCTTCGCGATGAGAATAATTACCCAGTGTGCTAGGTAATCTCGCAGTTCCGCAAATTTAAAAGAGAATTTAAAAAAGAACATTTCCGCAAGAAGTGAATACAATATAGCCCGCAAAATAAAAATTCGCCGTCGTCGTCTGGTTGTAATTAAAATCGAGGTAGACGCGGGTAAAATTCTAATTCGACTTTCGAGCCTCGATAACAGCCAACGATCACGCGAAAATATGACAATTTTCTACACGAAAAAAAATAAAAATGAAGAAATGCAAGCCGATATCGGATTCCTCGCGATTGATACGCTTGTCACGGGCAGTCACAAAGTGTTAACTTTTCATGTGTGTTCAGCCTTGATAAATAAAGTGAAAAGGACGCTTGCATAAATCGATAGCCTCGAAAATAGACGTTTCATTCATTCGCCGCTTTTTTCGCTTCTCCATCGCCGGATCGAAGGCGGAGAGATCACTATCGGAATGCAAACCGAGAAAAATCACGTACGGTACTTATAAATATATATGTTACGGTAAAAGTGATTAAATGAATTTGCCGTAAATCCATCTCCGATAATTCTGCAGAAATTCGATACGTAGATTCTGCCGAAATATCATAAATAAACAATAATAGATCCCATAAAGATCTCATTACGTATGTAGGGGAGACCTGGAAGGAACACACTTCTCAAATGTTAACAAACTCAAAAAAATTATCTATACTTTATATATTCTGAGAGAAGCAGCTTTGACATTTCTTCTCCATTATTTCGCTTATGATAAATAAATCAACGGAACGCCAACGAGATCTCCTCTACACGCACGACGTAGAAACACAGCCAGCGTTTCTATAGAATCGCTGACGATTTTATAGAATCATCGTCAGTCAATTACTCTTGCCGTAACATATATTTCGCTAAATAGAATAACGGCGAGAGCTCGACACGACGAGAGTCGTGTTCGCGAGTCTCGTTGAAATTCTTTGCGTGCGCGCGCGCGACCGATCGATATTTAATAAAATACACATGTCCATCTTACGTACGTTTCCTCAGTGCAAAAGGAGAACAAGCTCTACACCGTCTTCATTACGACGGCCCATCAGTCCCGTCTTCATTTCTTCCCTAACAGCGACGGTGATTCGGACGCGCTTTTGGACGTTTGTCTTTTCTGTTCTTTATTCACACGTCCATCGCGCGTTCTTCATCATCTGTGCGGGCAGTAGGGAACGTGCGGAAACAGGTGACAATGGATCGACTTGAATCTGAAACAAAGAGGAGCGCACATATGCGTTAACGCGAGATCACCAAGTCTCACAGCGATATTATAAAACGCCAATTATATTCAAAGCACTGAAGATGTCGCAAAGATCGAAACTACCGCGAGAGANAAAAAAAAAAAAAAAAAAAAAAAAAAAAAAAAAAAAAACTATGAAATTAGGCGGAAAGAAGATGAAAGAGGAGCGGAGATAAAACGGGAGGAAAAAATTTTGTTTAATCCGGACAGGCAATCTCTCTTCGGCGACTGCGATAATTTCTCATGATTTTATATCCACTTGCTTTTTACGCCGATCTACGTCACCGCTGTCGCTTCTAATGCGAGAGGCGAGTGTCTCGTTTCGGCTGAATATTCATTAATCATGCAATTTTCGCCGGGCATTATGATTCGTTTCTATCAATAATCCGTCCTCTATATCGTCTGATTGATTACCTCGCTCGCTCGCTCGGTTTGCACGAGCATCCTTCCTGTCTCGCATCCTGATTGCTTTAGCTACGGACTCGATTTACACTTCACATCACGTTCATTGCCTACTATACATTCCGTTCCTATCAGACGCGCGCTTTTCCCCCTTGGCAATTCGCTCATGCTTACTAACACGGCATGAAAGCGTCACGGGGCGGACGGGCGAAACGCAAGCGAGAAACTAAAAAAAAAACTTGGTCGCCCACGGACACATATTCGCTGTCGATATCGCGCGAAATGCGCGCGAAGCGCTGATATTTTCGCAATTAAAACCGACCGAAATCCTCGCTTTGACGTTACGTCGAGTCCTCTCGAGGAAAAACGGGCGGCAAAAGGGATCACCAGGGAATATATTCTATTATACACTGTGCGAGCGGATCTGCTTTATGAGGAAATATTCGGCCTTAGTCGAGCGTCGTCGAGCTGTCGCACATTTTCCTCTCCTTCTTTTTTTCCCCCTCGTCTGACGCGTAAATCCGACGGACTCTGCGACGAACACCGCCGCAAATACGATCAATCGGAACAATGTGACGAACTTTCGTAATATAAACTTTTAATAAAACGTCATCCGCGCCGCACGAGGGTAGCAACGAAAGAAAGGAGGACACGATTTAATATCCGCGCCTCGATTATACCCGCCGCAAGTCGTCGGGTATATGTATACTTTACCGGCAGCACGGCTCGGCTCGACTCGCCCCGATATTTTTTTCCTCGTTAATATTCACCAACGCAAAACTTGCCTTATTTCGCGCTAAATAAAAAGTCTCGACGCGGACTCACGTCAAGTGACGGCTTGCACGGAAGGAAAGCAAGCTGTTCCTTTTCCTGCACCTCCTTTTCCCTTCCCTCTTATCCTTTATTTTCTCTCCTCTTTAATCCTCCCCACTTTCCTCTGTCTTCTTTACCATCCTCACCATTATTATCTCATCATGCTGTATATTATATGTTACATATATATATGCGTGTGTGTAATTAATTTTTATTCTATTCGTATATAAGCATTTAAGGGATTCACATCCCGGAACGTTTGATAAATAAAGTTTTCCCTTCCTCTCTCGCCCGGAGATAAGGATTAATTGCGACAGAAACGGCCAGGAGACGGGAACCTCGTAAAAAGTCGCGATTATTATAAAGTCAATTAAAACTTACGAGAGAGCGTCGCGATGTCGTCCACGTCGTAATTACTTCGCGACCGTCTTCCGTCTTTCGCCAATTACACGGAAAACGGTTGCGCGGCATTCGTGTGCACGAACGTGAATGCAAATTGCGGATGTTTACACTTGATGCATCGTCACGTAGGTTGCACGTGTCGTTTCACAAAACGGCCGTTCGTTCGTTCGCTCGCTCGCTCGCACGCTTGCGAACGCACAATTATTCAAGGTGGTGGACTAACGGAGGAAGCGAATTATCGCGTTAACCCCGCGCTGTTCGGGGATGCGGTTCCGCGCACTTCGAAAGCCGTATTTCACCGTCGCGAGCGGTTTAGAGCAGTTTAAAATATAAATTTCCGCGCCGTGCGCATATATTAATTCTGCAGCGTGTGCAACGATAAAAGCGGCCCCGACGACGTGCGACATTCGGCCGAGGATCGTCCGTGAAAGAGCGCGGGAGAGACGCCGTTAAAATGGTAGAATTAAATTTTTAATTAAATATATTAATTTAAATCTCGCTCTCGAGAGTAATCACGTTACACGTAATATCTCCCTTTTTCTCAAACTGCACCACACAGAGTTCGGAAAAATAAAAGCCGGACCCGCGGACTTTTCGCGGTGCCGTAAGACTTCCGCTCGCGGAAAACCTCTAAAGTACTTTAATTTAGTTATTTCTCCCGAAGAATCTTCCCCGGTGGTACCCCGGGAGAGCCGGCATTCTACGCGAGTACTCTAGGCGAAGTTAGCAATTATAGAAGTAATTGAGGCTTTGATGCAGCTTCGCGTCGCGGGAGAGGACTCTCCCGAGGATGTTCAAAGAAACCGGAAATTAGAGCGCAGACAGAACTCGCGGCGGCTTCCGCCGCGAAAACGATTCAATTTCAATGTGCATTTTTGCATGAACCTGCGCCGACGTGATGTTCCGGCCTCACGCCGCGATTCGACCGCGTATCGAAAGGTGGAAAGTGTTCTCGCGCGGGGAAGAAACGTTACGAAATGGCAAGATAGGACAAGGTGGAAATAAGGAGAAAGCCAAGGGGAAAGAGCGAATAAGCATGCGCGTTACCTCTTAGGATCGTCCTTCAAGTCAAAACCGTCGATCTTCAGGATGTTCCACTCGTCTCTCGATCCCTTGGAGTAACTGAAAGAGACCTGGAACACAAGATGAGAAACGTTCGCTGTAGTTCAGCCGAGGACGGCAAAATTCGCGGTATTTTCAGGCTGAGAATCACGGATCAGCAAACCGAGCGATCGCTGCTGCGGCTGAAAACGATGCCGTTTATTTTGACGGTACACGTGTGCCCCGTTTGTGTGCGCGCGCACTCCGCGAAATGTGAGACCGGAGCATCGGGTAATGCCGGTCGCGAAGGAAAATATTTTTTGCGCCAGCGTTTTGCGTGCGTCGCACTCGTTTTCACCGGCCATACGATCTCCTCTCTCTCTCTCTCTCTCTCTTTCTCACGTACACATTCACACACTATGTACTCGAACTAAGCGTAAATATTACGCGACGTATATTTTGGCGACAGATTTTTCAACGAACTGTAATCTTTTCTTTTTCTATATATTGCGGATTTACATCGCATGATAATCCAATCTGATCAATCGCTTTATATATATAATCTTAAAGATATTTCGATAATACTTATATATTTAGTTACATTTTTAGTTGGTTATATTTTAATAATTTCGACACAATAAAAATTTTCACGATTTTTAAAACCGAGCATGTTAACCGAGTTTCTCGTATTTTCCGCGCGCACAAAATGCGTAACAAAATGCGCGCGATGACATCGTCAAGAAAGAAAAAAACGATGCACCTGAGCCACTTTAGTTAATACCTGCCGAGGACGGGTCATACGTTCTCTACGATTGCTCCTATTACGGCAGTCGCTCGTAATAAACGGAAACCGCACAATTAAATAATGACTATTGTGTTTCGTGAAATAAAACAGACAATGCACTCGGTGCGCGTGGTCTGATTCATCCCGTGCGCTTCAAATCATTCTATTATCATTCCATTATTTATCATCATGCTACTTATCGTGACCCGTACACGCGCAGAACACGCCACGGGGCGATTTCGGCTCCGCTCGTATTTTCCGTTACATTATATGATAAATCATTTTTGCACGCGTACGTCAAATAACATGTTAAATATGCGAGTATCGTCGAAACGAGATCGCTCGTTTCCAACGCGAATTTTAATAAAACCATTTAAATGGTTAGAAATTAAATATGCGTAAATTTAATAGTATTTTGCAAGCTCGTCGCACAAATTATATATATATATATATATATATATATATGAACTATATTGCATAAAATAAAATAAAATTTGGAGAGCAAAAAAATATCAAAATAGATTATTACCTGTTCGTGGAAAGTATCCTTGTTGAGGAATTTCATTGGCTCCAGATGCGAGTGAAACTGGTCCACCACCGTGAGATTCTTTTTCAGGAGGTACTCGATAATATAACCCATCGTCACGTCGTCTGGCAGCCTGATTTTGTCGCCAACGGTAATAAATTTACCGCCTCTGAAAGCAAACGTAGAGATGTCTCGTTTATTATTCGCACGATCGATTCGTTAAACGCTCGTATTAGTATACCTAATATTAAATAATACTTTTCGCTTTATTTCGCTTCACCTCGCTCGTTTTATTTTCGCCTTTTAGAAGCGGAAATATTAATTTAAGGTAACCCGAGGTGTAACGGATAAGTATAAAAATTACTACGGATCCGATGTCGCACCAATGTCATCTGATTAATTTACGAATTCGTCACACTGTTCTCGTGCGAAATTTTGGGAATGGTCGCAAAAAGGCACAAGCTGAGCTGATATTTAGATTTTTAATAGAAACGACATTCGGTATAAATCATGAGATTTGATTTCTCGCCGCTCACGTCAGCTTAGGATTATTTTTTATTTTTACCTGTTGAACTTTTAAACTTATGATTTTCATTAAAATTCGGAAGATAGAAATAAAAATAAAAAAAAGCAACGAAAAACAATTTAAACATCGTTTTCATTACACATCGTACACAGTAAAAAATACTCTGTACTTGTGTTAAGATCGGTCCTTGTTAAAATGTTTGTTTTAAACTCTTACATACCTGTGTGTTGATTTAATATATTATGTTTACATTATCTCAACATTTTGTGTTATATCGATATTAAATATGTGCAAAAGTAACATATTTTATACTTCGGTGTCAATTAACGTATTAATTTTGTGTTAATTTTTGACATAATATTTGTGTTATTTTTCAACATATTCATCTTATGTTAAATTAACACAAAAATTTGAGTGGATCGTTTGGAACATGTGTAAGCAATATGTTAAATTTAACACAGAATTTTTATTGTGTAGAAAGCACTCCTCAACATTTGTTATCTTTACATATATATCAGCGGTCCACGATAGTTCTTTCTTCCAAGATAATCCAAGGGATATTACAGAAACTGATTAAAGATTCTTTTTGTTTCTCGTAGCGTCGTAAAGCGGCTCGTAAAAATAATCACGGCGCAATTATCTTCTTTCCAACGGGTCGAGAGAGGAACGAATGTGGAAGAATACGGTGTTATCGTCGATTCGTAGAAACCCCGATTGGAAATCTGATAGCCGTCGCGACAGGAAGTGGAAAATCATGAACGAGACGCCGTTTCGAATTTCGTCATTCCGGCGCTCCTCGTTCAGATACAACGTCTCGATAAGAGCAAACAACTAGCGCGGCGAGTCCAAAGATAACAAGTGCTTTATCGAGACGGTACCCGTATTTATTTCGCGGCGATGTCCTTGCATTTAATTACCCAGCGGCGGGACGAGTTTAATGAATCTCCCGAAATGGTCGTCTCACTGAGATAATTATGAGACTGATGCTTCAACGTAAGTGCAGATTAAGTTAATTTATAAACGGAGACTTAATTAACTTTTCTCACGACGATTACGTGAATTAGCGAACGCGAATTCCACGTGCATAAAGTTTGCTCGGTAGGGCAAATTAATTTTTTCACTCGTCGTATTACACCGCATATTTTGTTCCTCGACCAAACTGGTTACGGAAAGGAAGGAAGGATGAGTTAATTATGGTTGTCATATGCAAAAAATTTGCTCAGATGTATGCGGGAGCTTCGTTTCGCGAAATTGCTGAAAAATCCTTTCCGGAGGGGAACCGACTCTTCCCATCAAGCCGTTACACAAAATTCCGAGGTATAATTCCTCCGATCGTCTCGATTACCATCCGACGGGGAATAATTATTAGCTTGAATGGAAAAAGCCCCGCCGGAACGTATGTGGAAACGTAATTTACCGATTACGCGCCGCGCTCGAACGTATTCGATGTCCGCGCGCGGGCATCCGCAGCCGTATGAAATAATTACCGGCCGCCGTCTCCGCGTTGCGTATGAAGTAATTAACTCATTCCAAATGGCGCCACGCACCTTATGCAGAAGCTCGTAGAAGAAGGAGCACGAAGAGAAGGAGCCTGCCCTTGCTTCTCTCGCTAACCCTTTCGCGACGGTCGTTCCTCCTGCGGCGCGCGGCGAATTACGGGGGGTGGGGGAGAAACGGAGACGCGTCACGGAACCTCGCGCGGGTTGGGGTCCCCGGGCGGGAATAAATTACCGGCCCTGTACAGCCACCCCGAAAGTCACGCGATGCCGACTAAGGTCCTTAAGTCCTTCGCGTGGCACCCGACACGCATGCACGATTAAGGTCGGCCGGAAACGCGACGGCGACGGCCAGTGGCGGACACTGACGATGCGAAAGTCGCTCACGGGTACATGGGGGAAAGGGGCATCATGAGTGCGACGAGGATTGTTGCAAAAAAGGATACTCGTAAAAAAAGGATAATTGGCCTAATAGGCCGGCAAGGCGGCGGGGCCGGGGGGAACGAGGCCAATCGACTGGTACCCCTCTGTCTGTCGACGACAGCGCGATATCTCTCCAATTCTAAGGGCGCTGAGATGTTATCTCTAACAAACGCGTTATCTCGTCGCTGTCTTGCAAGAAGGACAAAGGTGCATTATGAAAATGAGAATTCAAACGCCACCTGCCTTCAGTATACCCCAGAATTGAGAAGACAATTTCCCGTCTCGATGACTAGTACAGAGGAGGCCGGGGGCAGTCGGCTGGAAGGATTAGTTGATGATTAGGTTAATCAATTATTTCTGTTGTTTTCTAACAAGTTGCAGAATCGAGCAAGTGGTAGATTTCATGACCATCTTTGACACGTTTGAAATCTCTACTTGCTCGATTCTGTCATATATCAGAAATCGACAGAAATAATCAATTCAACAACCTACCCTTTCAGCCAGCTAGTCCGGTCTTCCCTAATGCGTGTACTCGGAGTGTGTATACGGAATGTACGTATAATTATCCTGCGTATAATGATCTGATTTTAATGTAACGCGAAGTAAAATCGTAATAACGTGAATAAGTAACGAAATCCAACATAATCTATCCGCTTTCCTCCAGACCGGCTCTGTTCAACTCGTCCCTGACCGAGCGGGCGGGCTCTTTATATTTCATCACGAATCACGTGGCTGACTGTTTGCTGAAACAACTCACAAGTCACTCCGCGGGTGTCTCGGATCGCGAGGGAAAGAACCTTCCGCCACCCATGGATTACACGACGTCTGGCAATTCGATCATTCAGCCCCATAAACAACTCGCGCGCTCTCGCAGGATCGATCACCATCGGCTGTGCGGAGCGTTAACGCTCATTTCTCACCGTCGCCGTCGTACTTCTCATTAATCTCGACATTAATCAAGGATGGACGCTGGACCACGTTCCGACCGCGGCCGCAGCAGCTCGCGCGAAGTAACGATCACTTTTCACCCAATAACGCGCGCTCGTCCAGCGCACGCGCACGTGATCGTTACTTCCTTTACTACCCGACGGTTTTACGGCTTCAGAGCTCGAGGAAAGCTCCTTCGGCTCCTCGGAAGAACGGCGAGGGTGACGCGGAGGAGAACGTGTGATGCTTCTCTGTGTTATGAAACTCGTTTGTAAACTTGATCGATATCTATACGGCAGGAACAATGCCATTCGAAGCCCCGAAATGTCAGTATGATACGACATTCGACGGCAAAGTCCGAAGATTTGAAGATCCGAAGTCGAATTATTCGAAGCTACGAAATATCGATGCTGTTAATTGAATTAGTTTTGGGGAGCGCAACAAAATGCCGCACAATTGGGGAATATCGATTTAATAATATCTCTAACGCAATTTTGAGATTTTGCATTTGTCTAGTTTAAAACAAAGTGAGCGAAGAAAGTGCATATAATAGACGACAAATCTCGTTGACTTTATTTCGAAATAAATGCAAATTTTGCCATGATACGTAACGGCATGATGGTAATGCAAGAAAAAATTACATTCTTTAGGAGTCGGTAAATACTATTTACCATACCTATAAAACGAGTAAACGTACTTTCCAGTCCTTGAAGATTCGAATATTCCAACATTCGAGTATTCGAATATCCGAATTTCCACCCTTCAATGTTTCATCATTCGGATGTATAACGTGGAAGGTCCCGAAATTCGAATTTCCAGCCCTACTATATGTGTGTGCCTTTTTACGCAGCCCTACTATATACATCTATCGCATTTTAAGTCGATTAGGTTCAGATCCATACAGATCTACGTGTATAGATCAACGTAGGCTTCTCTGCGTTATCTACATAGATCCGAAACTAACAACCAACGTTTCCGCATCAGGATTGATCCGCTGCCTCTTGCGATGACGACGACGACGATGACAACCGACACGAAGAGCGGAGCTTTAATTCGGCTGCATTCCGTTCGTGTAGATTAGGTCGAAGAGACGCACCTGCTGTTGCTTGCTGTCGCACGATCGCTACCGCTTCTCTGTTTCAAACTGGTTGGTCCGCATTAAAGCGACCCTCTTCGCATTTATTAAGCGCGCCCGTTCTGCTCAGAGCAGAGCGGTGCAGCGCGGCGACACGCGATACGCGCCGCGGCCTCGAAGTAACGAATTTCCGTCTATTAACCCGATAATCCGCGCCATTAATCGGCCCGATTCGCAGTCATTAATCCGACGTCGAACGCTGTCGTCGGTGCCGTTAGTAAGGACGATTGCGGCCGCGATCTCGCGTGAGCACGCGAGCGGGATTCGCGCACGGCTGATCGCGCAATTGTTTTCGAGCCTCAGCCGGCCGATTATCTTCACGTCGGGATGTGCGAACACGTAGTCCCCATTAAGGAACGCGGAACCGATTCTGGTTATCCTTGTTTCGCTCCTCACCGCGCGGATCGCTCTCGTTTGGAGTCGGAAGTCGGAGTTTTTCCGGCGGAACCTTCTCGCGAATGACAAGCAAGAATGTCGAACATACGTCTATGAAAAAATGCAAAAATTTACACGAATTATTATCGAAATTATTGTATATGCGCGTAATGATAATGTTTGTCAAAATAATTATACCTATGTGGGTCGTTTCGTTTAGTGATGTGTGTACATATGATACAAATCATGAAAAATTGTAACACACATAACTTCAGTCACAACTCCGG